TTCATAGCATGGATAAGTGTGTTTGATCTAGTTTAAAAATGGACCTTTGGCGTAACAAAATCCAATATATAATTATACCTACGAACATCAAATGGTAGCGCGGCCTACAGTTCTGATTTGTGTTAACTCGTATCGTTCGATCAAATGGTTACAATTTATCCACATATCTCCCGATGGCATCCAGACCGAAGCGAGTCAACCCACGGGGCTTCACCCCAGCTCTCGCATGAAATCGAGGCGAGCGGTCGGTCAGTCCAATCGCACAACATCCTGAAGGAAGCGACACCAATGATATGGGAACGCAAATAGTTTTATAGAACACATAATAACAGACTGACACACCTGGATATCCTTTGGATCACTTGTCGCTTTTCCTCTCCCTGTTGCTGATGCTGTGAATGTGAGGCTTGCAGTACCAAGAGAGAGTCCTCTGACCGTGAAATATGCAGTATCTTGATTGATTTTTCCCTTGTCTTCAAGCTCAAAGTCCCGCCTAAGGATAATTTTAAAAAATAATTCAACGGAAACAGGTCAACCGAATGATGAATATGCCATGTTAGAAAATACAGAATTAATGAGGTCTTACATGTATTATGCACGTGAAAATACACAAAATTATCTTTACCTGATGTCTAAAATGTCTGGAGTAAAATTTGGAGTCAAGGTGAGAAACTCAAGATTTCTGAACAACAGTGGCACCCCAAATATATCTAGCAATTTGAGCCTCAGGGTCTCTGATGCGTACAACTCAATCTGATAAAAGCAAAACGCACAAAATTGAATGGAGTCAAACTTCAAATTACAACATCAAAAGAATGACAAGTGCTGAGTGGGTGAGAAAAAAGAAAGTAGTGTGTTAATATGCACGGATATTTGGCTTCCGTATTATTACAACACTTATTCCAGCGATCCAAGCAGGAAGAGGCACGAATCATAGATACCAGGCTTGATTATAAGCCCCGGAGTACATCTTACGAGCAGCTTAGGTAAAATGACCTGCGACATTAACCGTTCATAGGCACAGTAACATGTACAACCTGAGGCTGTGTTTAAAAACTTGAGGCTCCTTTAAACCACAATTTAAGGCGTTGACTGATCCTGTTGGCCTACATCAAACTACCATTAGAAGAGAAGTAGGTTGCGTCACTTTGACGGAAACACTTACAGTAAATAGCTACTTTAACAATGAGATAAGGAGACAGTAACTCTTAATGCCTTTCATGAGGATCTGTCTTTAATCTGAATCTTTTAGAGAAAAGGGTAAGTTTGTAAAGAAACTGTGGTGCTGCGTCGGTGGGAGTTTCACATTATAATTTGGTTTATCAACTGAGCTGATAATATAAACTGACCGCCGTAAACAGATACTAAAGCTGACGTTTCGAGCGTTAGGCCTTCCTCAGAGCGAATGACGAGACGTCAGCATTATAAACTCCGTCCGGTGGCAAATTTATATTTTATGTTTTGGAGAACGGAACTGATTTTGAATTGCAAAAAAGACGACAAAAATGTGAGAAGACTCATTTCAAACCAAAAAATCTTCACAATTCTACCTTGTGGCATCAACATACCTTGTTGACAACAACAACATCTACACCGTACACATCAGAAACTTGAACATCGGCAACCGCTGGCCCGGTTGAGTCCAAGCACAAATCGTGCACCATCACCGTGAACAGACCCTCGGATCTTGGGATAACCTAACCAAATAAACATTACCAAAGAAAGATTCTGAATCAAGTAAATGTGGCACGAAGGAGAGGAAGTGGTAGGTAAAATTCACGACTTTCACAATAACTCAACTCACTAGTATGTCAGTTTTTCCTTGGTAATTAACTTTTGCGATAGCATTGCTGCTTCCTTTCACAGCAAAGTGACCCGAGCCTCCTTTAATGTGGAAAACAGCCTGGAAAAAATAAAACAAGATAATGTACCATTCAGTATGTTTAAAATACACACCAAAGAAAAAGAGCATTTCAACTTCTTGATGCCCAAGAGGCGAGCGAAATGCCACAAAAATCTTGTACGAGACTGACACTACAAGACGGATGTGTGAGGATGGCAAGCAGTCGGAAAATTGGAACTTATTGTCAAAGAGAGAGAGATGTGAATGTTACTCGTAAGCGGGCGATATTTTCTTCTACAGAATGCGATGTCGCATGATTAACATGACTTAAGTACAGGATTCCATATGGATATTCCTATGGATAAAGCCTTACTTGATTTTCAGGATGATTCAGTATTGAAGCGGCTGGTGGAACAAGTTGCCTTTCAGGAACAAGCAGCAATTTCAGATGCCCTCGCAAATTAAACTTAACGGGTTTCTGTACAAGGTGATGAAAAACCTCAATTAATTTACGACTAAGGTGGTGCCACTATCAAAAAGGAAATCAGTGATACGACGTACTGTTAGGGAACTCTAATGAAAAGATGAGGGGGGAAGGGGATAACCCTACGGAGGACAAGTATACAGTCCAGGGAGGAGTGGGGGGTTGCAATACCCTTGGTTGCTTAACGCTTCTGAGCCTGAGATACTCAGGCAAAGGGCTAACACTCCTTAAATTTACCACAACAGTACTATCAATATGCCTACCGATGCAGACAAACCCTTTCTTTAGATAATCATTACTTCCCTAAGCAGTTGCTGATGATGTGATTGCCGGCTGTGTCCAGGAAAAGGGGCCGTTAGGCGAAACCTAAACACGGGCTTTTCTTGCAAGGTAAGTGGATTATGGTGAGAGATCTTATAGGTAACGGTAGATTGCCGGCAACCGGGTTTTATTGAACACCTGGACATATTTAGGTAAAAAAAAAATCAAACCTTCAATTCCCTTCCACACCATCTTAAAATGTTGCATTGGTAGCCTTCAATGGATGCCTCGATAACAACTCCACCCATCTTGTCGCTCAAACTGACAGTTTGATATGCTAACCAAACAGAAGAGAGATTAGTATGCGATAAGTTCCAGATATTCAGGGTGAATTCATATTTAAGTAAAAATAATAATAAAGAGGAAAAAAAAAAATTCAGGGAATGAAAGTAGTTAAATTAAAAGCACTCACACATTGCTCTTCTAAGGTTTTCATCGTCCTTGTATTTGACAAACATCATCTTAACAGAACTTGTCATGTCAACAAATTCTGCCAAAGTGCGATCGCTGGTCGACCAAACTACAGTCAGTGATGTGAAGTTGTCAAATAAGCGTCCGAAGGAGTCACGGAGATGGACAGCAAGGTTTAACTGTTGATTGTTGCGCACATGGATCTGAAACCCGAGACAAAGCCACTAGTTAAAAATTTTTCAATCCCAATCACAAACAATGTATCTGTTAACCCAAGATTCTTGAAAGGCAGATTTTAAAATTTGGTCCATCAATTAAAAAGGTTCAGGCTGTAATGGTGACAAAAGTGGTGAATGAATAGTCACTCTTGCAGAACAAACTTTTCCATGATAACGCATTTGCCCACAAAAATGTATCTCATGCATACCGTTCCACTTGTCTAGCAACTTTGGGGTTGACTGTTCCAAAAATGACCATACCTCGATACAATGACTTTCCCCCTCGCATATTTGACTGACTATTGCCATTAACAAAGTACAACATTGCTTTGAGGGGGGGAAAGAAAGTGAGGGAGTCAAGCCTGGGGTATTGGGGTCAGTTAAAAATGGTACGCATGCTGTATTCCAGAATTTTACAATCTCAATGGCAGGTTTAGAAATTTGCCACTCAATTTGATGGATTTATCACTAAAAACGCTGATAAAACAGCCACCTTTCCAGACCCAATACGACCTTTATGATAAACAATTAGTTATAAGTACTAACAAGTTCTGACACTAGCGTAAGATGGTTAACAGGGGGGTTCCAAAGTAAGTCTTCAAGTACCTCTTACCTCTTTGTTCGAGCTCACACAATTTTCAGGAGACAGTTGACGCCCATCCACTGTTGGAAGTTTTATGTCGGGAACAATTGTCAGTGATGCAGGGTCCATGCATGCAAATCTACAACAACAACAAAAAAAAGTTTAATAAGTAACTTTTTAGGCAAAAGCACAATCAAGTTTTTCCATGTACTACAGATGAAATACCATCACAAGATGATTAACACGATAATTAGTTTCAGCAACAATCTGCCCTTTAGTTGAAGAATCAAAAAAATGGAAAGCCATATTTTGAGGTTGAAGTTTAATAAGTATCCTTTATCCTTCACACATTTAACTTCAAGAGCGTGCATTAAGGAAGTCCTGTTGTGCATTCTATAACCGTATTTTCCATTTGTTCCCATGAGGAATAAGATAAATCTTTGAGTACATAAATGTTATTTATTGTCTCAATTACATCATGTTTGATGTGCCATTCTAATTCTTTGTGTTGGTGGCTGAAGTTTGAAAATGTTTCGCATGCATTACATGAACTGTAAACCACATGCATCACAAATGAAAAGCGCTCTTTGTTCTTGCGAAATGTCACTTGAAAGGCCTCGAACTTTTGCTCGAACTTTCAACGAAAGATCGTTCATTTGCATTACTTTTGCACAATACTGGTACTTCCGCTAAAACACAGATCAGTAACGTTTTACCTCTCACCTGATTAATACAGAGGAGCTTGCTGGGTATGGATTCTTTGCAGATGGTTTGTTTCCAATCTTCACAGTGAGAACCTAAAACAAGCAGCCATTTTATACGAGACCCAACTCCAACTAGTGGGCATTATGACCAAACTTACATATGAAGTTAGGTCACTAAAATGGTGCCCCATTCTGTCACGTAAAGTTAACTACATGTATGTTTTGTTCTGATTTTAGATGCATGTTGAGATTGTTAGAGATACATGAAGAAAGAATTGTTGTAATACCAAAATATCATTATTTTTATTGTTCTTAACTATTACAGAATTGTCACAGGGCTGTCACTTGTGATATGCTATGTCACAGGGCTGTCACTTGTGATATGCTATCAACTATGATATATTGCTGTCTACCACTCCTCGTTGTTTCCAACAAGTAAAACCTTTAAGCTTTTGGGGCAGATTAAGAGGCATTACCATATGCTTTTGCTCTTTTTGCTTTGTTATTTTGCTCTCTTTGATTCCCTCCCTTCTTCCCTCCCTCCCTCCCTCCCTTCTGCATCTTGGGTGAGTATTCATTCTACCCTACATGTAGTTTGTGAGTGTTGTGTTAACAGCTTCCCACAGATGAGGAGTGGCTTATTTGCCATGGCAATCATCTTGCAATCATGGCAATCATCGAGAAGGCTGTCTTCCTCAGCTACTACCATAGTGGACCAACCCTTCACTACAACTGATCACATGTTTTCACAGAATGTTATGGTATCACATTTAATTTTGACCAAAGAAAGAGTTCTTACCTGTTCACCTTGCTTTAAACAGATTATGTTAAAATAATGATACGATCCACTGTTATCAACTGAAACGAAAAAGACACACCATAATACATGTATACTCCACTACATGCATAACATGCATAACATGCATTACATATGAAAACTTAAATTCATGTGGAGTGAAAGTCTCTTACCTCTTTCACCCATAAGAGTGACTAACATCTAACAATAACACCCCTGGGTAACAACCAGAAAAAAGATCCCCCTCTATTCACAAGGGTCAAGTGATAAATATAGTATTTTCACTAACCAAGATAGTCAAATGTGGGATAATACCCAACAGAAACATGGTCCTCTTTCTGTGGATCTGGAATCACTGTCAAACAACAGGAAGATGGGAAGGTTAGTCATCTGTAGGAGGCAAGCAAAACTCAGGGTTTGCACCCTTCTTCAGAAAAATAATTTAATAGACTTTTCCAGTATTCCAAATTTCACCTTAAACCCTTACAATCCCAAGATTTTAAACTCAATTCTCCTAATGATCTAAATACATTAAAAGCATAAATTCTGAAAACTTTACTGCTTGAGTTAAGCAGATTTTTAGGAAATTCCAGGAACTGTAGTCTTTTTCCAGGACTGGAAAAAATTCCAAGACTTTCCAGGTTTTCTAGGACCCATACAAACCCAGAAAACTGTATACAAAGGTAAAGGCAGAAAGTTTTGTCAAATTGGCTCTTAATATCCAATGGAAATTCTCTTTCTGTTGCATGTGTAAACATCTGTTTGAACAAAAACTTTTGTTCAACAGTTATGATGTTATATCAGTGTCTAACCAATTGTCTCCTAATTTAAATGCACTATTAATATAAAGTCAAGCTTTCAATTGAGGACTGCTCATTATCATTCCTAAAGGTAGGTAGTAACTAAGCAAATATCTAATGGAGAACATAAACTTGTTTGAATAATCATGCTGGTCAAATTGCACCAATGATAAAACAATAACAGCCAACTAACCATGCTGCCTAAACAGCCACACCTAATGTTCAACCTTATCACCTGACTACAACCAGCTTGACCCTACAATTGAGAATGACTCTAGATCTTGAGACAAACAATTAAACAGTCAGTTGTTATATACAGCTCATATGAGTTCACCTTCTTCATAATATCCAGAAGTATCCACAATCCAAGGAAGAGGTCCTCCCTCTAACAAGAGGTTCTTTGCTGAACACAAAGACACCACACCAACATCCACTGGATCTAGAACCTACATATAGATAAATAATTCTTATACTGCATGTGTACTTGTGGCTAGTTCACCAAAACTTAACAGCTAGGCAGGTACCCAGAGTACTACAGGAACTAGCTGCCACATATGGAGCCTTCTGGAAGAACTAGCTACTGCTTCTAAATGCAGCTGCAATGCACATGGCATTAGGGTGACATTGACTTTGAGACAATGCAGGCCAACATATGTCCCTCTCTGGGCCTACAAGGGAACCTTTAAGCATAGTGCACGGTAATCTTGTCAGCAATGTCCTTCACAGCAACCAAACCTCAAGCCCATCTTTTGTCCATGAAATGCATTTGGTGGTAACATTTCACAGCCGAAGACAACAGAGCACTTGCAACTCTCAAGCAACATCTGCATACCTAAGAGTTAACTCATAACTAACCTTAAGTGGGTGATAAGCACCAACAGTCACCCCAGAACGTAGAATTATGTCCTTGTACTGGTAAGTCACAGTCAGTGTGGTGAAGCCAGAACGAAGGGCAAGAAGCTTCACCGACATACAACTTCCAGCAGTTATCTCATAATCTCCTAAAAGTAGACATTAAAAAGCACACTGTTTCAAGACACACACCAGGTACAGTTAGTGCTTGAAAATATCTTGAAACTCTAGATAAAATTCTATTAGTCATCAAGCCAATTTCATGAGTTTAACCTTTAATAAGGATTGGCAAATAACTTGCCCATGAAAATGCTGACCTGTCACATCAGCAGAAAAAGTTATTTTGATGACATCTAGAACTCTTCAGAAAGTAATCATTTGAGTTCTTGAAATCTGAGCTTGGAGACAATTTCTGATCAAATTAAGAAAAAGCCAATCTCTTATACTTACTTTTCTCTTCAACTAACTTGAAAATAGACGGGTCAGAAAAAGAGTACATCACAGGGAGAGTGCGACAATCGGTGAAAACATGGAACTCTTGGCATGCTGAGAAACGAAACAATGCAATAATTATAATATCATTTTATGATTACTTGTTTCAACCTAACCAACATTTGTAAAGTGTTATTGTTGGCAACAGTGACCGACAATTCAAAACCCTGAGCAAAAGCCAACATCAGTGCCACATCAAGGCTATAAAAAACTCACACAAAACTCTGCTCAGGCTGGCAAAGCACAAGGATCCACCTCAGCAGCAGTTCTTTGCAGGACTAAATGATCCCTACACTGGACAATTAGACTACACCACCATATCAAAAATACAGTGCTGTGGTACAACAAACATAGAGCTAGCTGTACTTAGTTCGCCAAACAAAATTTGCATGTGAAAAATCACAGTTTCAGGGATTGAACAATAACTATATCAAGCAACCTATGAAGTAAATGGAGCAGTAAGGACAGATGATGATAATGACAGTAACAAAGAGCTTTTCCTTTACCTGTATAAATGCAAGTTGCTACAGCCAGTGGGAGTGACAATGAATAACCAACTTGAGCTTCAACAACAGAGGGAAGAAACTCCATTTTTCTTGGTGGAAGGACATAAACCTGAGAAATTTCACATAAAATGATTAAAAAAGACTCCTCAATTAACCTCATTCCCAGGATCCACTCCCTGTCATTCCCAGAAATAACAGAGGAGTGTTAAGGGGACACACTTAGGAGGACCCACAGAATAAGGTTCCAGTCACATGTCATTTTATTGCCATCACATCATTTAAGGAAACAACTGTTACAATTTTCTTACACTAACCAGACCTAAAAACAAATCTTCTATCTATTTCCCCCTTTGAATGATACATCATGGCCCTTTTTGACCTTAGGTGGCCTTCTTGTGACACTGAATACTGACTAAGGTATAAGTAAGGTATAAACATTATACCAAGGAAGTTGTACACCGAGCACTCTGCAAGATGAAGGAGTATTCAAAACAGGTTGGGAACCCACCTCTGCTGTTCCAAAAATTGCCAGATTCTTCATGTCTGCTGCACGAGCCTGGGTGTGTCCTACTGCATTAGTTGTGATAACAATGCCTTTGGTGCTTACAGTGGCTACTGAGGTGTTACATGACGACCAAATATACATTCCACTTCCTCCAGATGGCTGGAGAGAAAACCAAAAGGAAAAGTTAAAAGAAAAATAATAATTGCTACTTGCTGAGACAAAATCAAGCTTGGAACTTGATATAAAGCTCACAGTAACTTAACATCTTATCAAAGTTTCTCAGTATAAAAAGCAAAAGGCAAGATGAGCTAAAATCAGAACACCAACAACAACTTAACATGGATTTCTTTCCTCTTTAAACATTTTTTTGTTATTGCCATGAGGCTTTTGCTTTACAGAGCCTTTGAGCCCCAGACATGACATAATGCAGGTACTATTATAATTATTAACAGTGGAAATGTCATTATGTACCTCCAATAAATATTGAAACTGGGTGTGGCTGGCCACTTTCTGTTGCTCTGGTGGGTACCATGGGAACACTATTATCTCAGGGTTGACAACCACTGGATCAAAAATATCTGCTTCTTGTTGTCCTGAGATGGGATTATTGAAGGTGTGGATCACGTTTGTACCAAGAATCTGTGATTAAAAAGTGTGTTAGCGTCAACAAGGCTCACCCCAAAAGGCTCCACTCCTCCATCATTGAACTCTTGATAAAGTATTATATTTAAGGTGGTAAGTTTTTAAAGAAACTGTGGTGCTGTGTCAGTGGGGGAGTATAACAAGACAAAACTGAGTTGATAAAGTAAATTAGCCACTGTAAAGAGTTTCTAAGCCGATGTTTTGAGTGTTAACCCCTCCACAGAGCAAATATTAAAGGCTCTGATTTGCTCTGACCAAGTGCTAACACTTGGAACATCAGCGTAGAAACTCTGCACGGTAGCAAACTTAAATAATTACATTATCAACTCAGTTGATTAAAGCTTATTATTCTATCATATCTAAGAACTATCAGTAGTAGTAGGTAGTAAGAA